AAAATATCTTCGGACTGAATAAATTAACAGACCCTTTTTTGTTTTTATATACCTAAAGTAATCCTAATAATCCAATAAGATGTATTATAGTAATTCAGATTATTAGTAAAATTTTGGGCGAATATTCATGAGACCATACAAGGGTGTAAAATCACGTTACTTTCCAAGTGTTAATTCTGCCAATATTGTTGACTCGATGTACGTAGAAACAGGTTTAACTGACAGTTTAAGTACAACTGACCACAACCCTAATGACAGCCCATTTTAAAATGCAAGTACATAAATTTCAATTTAATGTGCGCATTACACTTAAACAGATGAACTATATAACTTTATTGAGGTATTTTCTAATAATAAAGCCAATAATGTTCTGTATAATCCTCCCATAAATATATCAACCTGACCATTTCTTTTTTCAGTTCTTTGCTGTTCTCCAGGAATTATTTAGGTCACCTTACCTGGTAGTATGGTTGCCTTATAGAACACTCATTTCTGATGGAACCCTAATTGTTTATCGGAATAGTTTGTCACAATCGTCCTGTCTAACCCCTGAATACTGTCTCAGTTGAATGGTTTCAGATAATCATTTGCCAAAAGCAAGTCGTCAGCAGAGCGCAATAATGAAGTCATAAAGATGCAGATGTAGTTCTTCTGCAATGAAACTAATGCAGAATCTAGAATGGAAGAAACTTCAACACAAGTTACCAAACTGAAAACTAGATTTCATGCTTAAGTGAATTATAGATTAGAAGGCTGAATCACCTTGCTAGAGGCCATATCGCTGACTGATCGATGTGTTTGGATATTTTCAAGACGTTCTAAGCACCATTCCAACTCTTCCAGTGTCTCGACAGCCACCGGGTTTGGCGTGCTTTCATCTAAAAGTAGGAAATTAAAAAATAAACTATTTATATGATCTAAGGCAAATTGTTGTTTAAAGAAATTCTGGATTAAACATGTTTGCAGTAGAAAATAAATCCTAAGGGAATAAGAACTATGAGAGCTCAAAGTATAAGCTTTAAATGAAAAGT